CCTCCCCTCACCAGCAACAACCACTATTCTACTTTCTGTCTCTAGCCTGTTCTGGACATTTCTTAAAAAAGAAATCATATGATATGTAGCCTTTTGTGTCTTAGCATAGTGTTTTCAAGGTTCAACCACGTTTCAGCATTTCAGAGCTTCATTTCTTTCTGTGGCTGAATAATATTCCATTATACGGATAGAGCACACTTTGTGTATTCATTTACCTATCGAGAGGCATTTGTGTTGTTTCCACTCTCGGGCTCTCATGGATGATACCGCTGTGAGCTTTCATCTAGCAATCTGTGGATGCATGCTTTCATTTCTCTTGGGTGGATAGATACGGTTGATCACATTGTAACACTAAAATTATTGATTAAAAGAACTGAGGGTCCACTATGAGAGCCAGCATTCTGAAGATACCAGAATGGCTCTGGAGTTAATTCTCTCTTACTAAAGAAATGGAAGTCAAGGGGTGATGCTTTGTGGAAAGCAAGGCTGTGTATTGTTCTCAAATTTCTTCTTTTTATTTTCAATATTCCTCATCAAGTTGTGTGATGAATGCAAAAAGAGGGGTTCTGTCAAGCCAACCACTAATCACCTGGGGGACTCTTCATAAACTCAGACCATGGGCTTTGAGCCTGTGAAGTTCATCATTAACACATGACTGTCGTCTTTCACTGTGATGCCAAATGGTGTCCCACACTGAGATTTGTGCCTTTCATTTAAAAGTCACTCAGGGCCGGGTGTGATGGCTCACGCCAGTAATCCCAGCATTTTGGGAGGCCGAGGCGGGTAGATTACTTGACGTCAGGAGTTTGAGACCAGCCTGGCTAACATGGTGAAACACTGTCTCTACTAAAAATACAAAAATTAGCCGGGTGTGGTGGTGTGTGCCTGTGGTCCCAGCTACTCAGAAGGCTAAGGCAGGAGAATCACTTGAATCCAGGAGGCGGAGGTTGCGGTGAGCTGAGACTGTGCCACTGTTCTCCAGCCTAGGGAATAGAGAAAGACTCCGTCTCCAAAGTAGAATAAAATAAAAGCGGCTCAGTGTATATGTAATCAGTGATATCCACTATCTTGCTAAATGCACATATGTATATATATCAATATGTAAAAAACTCTAGCAGAGAATATAACAGAAGGGAACCTTTCCACTCCCTACCATCAATATTTACGCTTTGCAGGACACTCCTAGAACGTGGTGGGCAGTGCTTTGGAAGAGAGGGCTCCTCCCAGGGTTCTGGGATATTGGGATATTGGTGATGCCCTCCAGACACTTGGAGCACCCCCTAATCTCCAAAAGTGGTTTTGCTCACCCACTTTTCTTTTCTCTTTTTTTGTTGAGATAGCGTCGCGCTTTGTCATCCAGGCAGGAGTGCAGTGGCACGATCATGGCTTACTGCAGCCTCAACCTCCCAGGCTCAAACAATCCTCCCACCTCAGCCCCCCAAGTAGCTGTCACCCTCGTTTCTGATATAAGATCTCACTAAGGTCAAGAATCAGCTTGAGGCTTGGAAACTTGGCCAATGTTTTCTGCCTTTAACTCTAGAAAGTTTCAAACAGGAATTCCAAACAACCCCAGAGCAGGCAATGACAACAGACGGACCCACGGTGCAGAGGAAACTGTATTCATTTCTTGCACCGAAGCTGGTGAAGAAAAGACTTATGTGATTACACGATGGGGAGTACTTTAGGATACCATCCTTAAACGTTAAACAAGAGGAATACTGTGCAACAGGGAAATGGTTGCTACATTCTGGCATATACGATTCCAGCGGATGGAATTTAAGCCCTCATTTAAAGCATAATTTTGAAAAATATTTAGTGACTTAGAAAAATATTTATTTTTTAAGGCTAGGTAACCAAATAGGAATGCTGAACCATTTATACAGAGCGAGCCGATTTTACCACTTACCTCCCCTCCACCCTCAACTCCCATTTTTGGATGGGAAAATTCTTCCGCACAGAAGAAAACGACAGGCACGTCATGAATGCAAATGTCAACGTTAGTTTTCTCTGGGAATTTTTATTTTCTTGGACAGAAAAGTGCCTACACTTTGTTTTCTATTAGGAAGAGAAGACATTCTTTAACATCTAAGTAGTAAAGCCAGAGCGAAGCGAAGAAGCCCCTTCGCCCATAAGATGGCTTAAGAATGCTGTCCTAGCATCTTCCATAACTCCTCGAATCCCCTTGCTTAGGGGGCATCTGATGCGCAGGTGCACACGGCAGCTACTGGGCCCCAAATCTGGGGTGTTCTTACTCAGGGATTTAATTATAGGGCCGGGTAGTCAGGAGCAGGTCTCCCGCTGCAGAAATCCTTTTTGACCTTCAGCAGAGACAGAGCCCTAAAACTTTGGGCCTGACTTTCCCTTCCCCAACTCCTCCTCCTGTCCCTCCCAGGAGCTCCTTCACCCCCAGAGACTCCTTTCTTTATCTCTGTCCCAAGTGCCTCTCTACCCAGGCCTTCTCAAGAGCTCGCCCGCAGCAAGACCCCTCTGGCGTCCCCTTTCCTGTTTCAGAGTGTAGCGGGGTTCTGGGGATCACAGCCACCGCAAGAGCCCTGGGATCGCCCGGGGAGGAACCGGTGAGCCTGAACTGTGTTTGGAGAGCACAGGGAGACACCCGCGCCTGCGGCCAGAGCCGTGGGGACAGGGTGCTGCGAGTGCGCAGCTCTTCTAAGGTCCTCGGTAATTCTTTCCCGGCCCGTGTAGGGCGCCTGCGAAGACCCGCCCCAGGAGTCTGATCCTGGGGGAGGGGAGGAGGCTGGAAGACGTAGGGGAGGAGGGAGGCTGTGGCCGAAACCGCACTGTGGGGATGGGAGGCTAGGAGAGGGAAGAGAGGGAGAGAGAGGGGATGAAAAGCAGAGGAGGAGGGGGAAGGGAGGAGGAGGAGGAGGGAGGCGTGCAAAACTGAGGAGGGAGGGGGTGAAAAGTAGAGAGGGGAGAGGTGGAGGGAAGGAGGGGGAGGGTAAAATGCAGGGGGGAGGGGAGGAGGGGGTGAAAGCAGCGGGGTAGGGGGAGGGGAGGAAGAGGGAGGGGGTGAAAAGCAGAGGGGGAGGAGGAGGGGAGGAAGGGGGAGGGGAGGAAGGGGGGTGAAAAGCAGAGGGGGGAGGGGAGACGGAGGGAGGAGGATGGGAGGTGAGGGAGGGAGGGAGGAGGAGGGGAAGTGAAAAAGGGGTGAGGGGGAGGGGAAGTAAAACAGGGAGGAGGGGGAGGGGAAGTAAAAGAGGGAGGGGGAGGGGCGCCGCCCAGCCTCTTTCCGGAGGAGACTCATTTAGATGCAATGGCCAATGTTTTTTTAAAGCAGACTGTATAAATTTACAGTTTCCTTTTCAGCTGAAGCAGACAATGTTAAAACACATTAGATTTTCTGTTTCGGAATGCAAATTAAACATAGGCAAGCTCTTGGAAGGCTTCATTGAGGGCTTAAGAAAATGGGAGACTGAAAATGTCGATACTTGAGCAAGGCAAGAGATCTTAGCCTTGTTGCAGTGTGGTCGTGTGTGTGTTTACTTAAAAAGAGAAAATTGCTTAATATTAAAACGGCCCAAGCCTTCTTTGAACATAACAGGAAGCACTGCTTAAAAACAAATTTTTTTTTTATAGCCACCATTTATTTGTCAGCGCACGGGGTGGGGGAGGTCGGTGCGGTTAAGGCAGGGTGGCGGTAGTGATACAGACGCTCCCCAAAGCCGGCTCACCCGGCCTTCCAACCCCAAGGAGTGGAATCTAGCAGCAGCCCCCAGGCACTCCCCCTCTCATCTAGAAATGACTTTCCTAAATAGCTGTCACTGTAAACTAGGTTCCTTTCTGTTCTCTGTCCCCTTTTCTCACCCCAAAAGCAAAAGCAACAAAAACACAACCTAATAGAAAAGCCTCTCCCACCCCAGCTAAAAACAAGCAGGGCACTCGCCCCAGACTCTGTATCCGCTGTTCCTGCCCCCGTTATGGGAGCCTCGTGGGCTATTTTCTGCTCTTTTCTCCCCCTGGAGAGTTATTTAAGGCCTTTAAATGCCATTCTGTGCACACATAACTTAAAAATGGTCTGGCACGGGGGAAAAGTTGGCAAATGTCTAGTTCACAATCTGTTGTCATTATGTGAAGCCAGATTCAGTAAAAACTCTATTGGCTCCGGGAGCCAGGTTATGCAATATCTTAAAAGGGTTTGGGGATGTGTCTGTGGGAGGGGGAAGGAAACCTGAGAGGGGAAATAGGAATCTGGGTGTCACATGTAAATTTGCTGTACTGGGAGTGGCCCTGGACACAGACGGGTGTAGGGAGCTGCCCGTTTCAGTCTTAAGAGCAAGAAGCCCCCTTCCCCTGCATTTTAACTGTGTGGGCTTTGAAAATGGGAGGGAACTGAAGGCATCCCTGAGTCATGAGTGTTCCTGGAGGGTCTTGACATTGAGATGATGAGTGGGGATGGGCCCGAATGAGCTGTCTAGGGCTGCGATGGTAGAACAGCAGACATGGATTCCCTCACATTCTGGAGGCCACAAGTCTGAAACCCAGGTGTCACAGGGCTGCTTTCTTCCGCAGCCCCTCTCGGTGGCTGGTAGACGGCCTGTGTCCTCGGGTGGTCGTCCCTCTGTGCGTGCCTGCGTCTTCACCGCCTCTTCTTGTAAGGACTCCAGTCCTACTGGACCAGGACCCACCCTAATGACCTCATTTTCATTTAATTACCTCCTTAGAGATTCTGTTTCCAAATACAGTCACATTCCAAAAGGTAGTGGGGATTAGAGCTTCGGCCTTTGAATTTTAGGAGTTATTCCCCATTATAGGATTGGGAGAACGCTTAAGAGGCTTGATAAGGGAAGCAGAGAGGGTGGGGAAGGAGCTTGTCCCACCCCTGGGCACTCGGGCCTCGGGGTGCCCCTGGCTCCTCAGCCCCTGGGTTTGCAGACCGGAGAACAGGGCTGCTGCCAGCGAAGTGGGCGGGGGTGGGGGGGTGGGGTGGGGGTGGGGGTGGGGGTGGGGGCAGGGTAGCTGTTAACTGCTAGACTTGGGCCTCTCGCCCATTTGACAGCTGCATTTTTAATTCTCTTTTGGAATATTCCTTCTGTGTTGCAGTTTCACCGTAGCCTGAGAGCCAGCTGGATAAACTGCTAGGGACACAGGATTCCCGAGTGACAGCGCAGGGCAGCAGTGCTGTCGCGGTGTCCTGTTCACATCACACCGGGAGGGAGCCGCAGGTAATTCTGCAGACTAAAGGAGGGAAGGAGCAGGCTCACCCTGTGGGTTTTCAAGACGTTAATTTAAGTTAATTTAATCTTCGTTGTCTGTACTTGACAGAAACCATAAGGCTTTATCCAAAGTGGTATCTTTTGTGGTGGGTGAAACAATTATCAGTCATTGTTAAGAAACAGGGTCTTCTCCTTGGCCACTGAAAAACTCTGAAATGTGAGGAGAAATATCAAGGTTGTGGATGATCTGATATCATGAATTTTCTCAGGAAAGAGATGCCCAGAGGTGAAAGTGTATTGGAGCTTCCATCTCTGTGGCTTTTTTTAAATTAAATTGTACTTTAGGTTCTGGGGTACATGTGCAGAGCATGCAGGGCTGTTGCATAGGTACAGACATGGCAATGTGGTTTGCTGCGTCCATCCCCCTGTCTCTTATATCTGTCATTTCTCCCCATGTTATCCCTCCCAAACTCCCCACACCCCGCTGTCCCTCCCCTAGCCCCCCCCCACAGACCCCAGTGTGTGATGCTCCCTCCCTGTGTCCACGTATTCTCACTGTTCATCACCCGCCTATGAGTGAGAACATGCGCTGTTTGATTTTCTGTCCTTGTGTCAGTTTCGCTTTTGTTAAGGTTTGGTTCCAAATAGTGGTGTCTCCAGAGAGCTGATGATCTCAGAATGCTTTTGAATTTGCACAGCGAAGCCTTCAAGTCCTGCCTTGGCAGTTTCAACAGAAGCATAAAGGATTCAAGGAATCACAGACATGATGGTGAGGACAGTTTTGGTGGTGATTTTCTTGGCAAAGCCCTGGGGAGCCGGCTGGCTTGGTCAGCTGTGGGCAGAGTTTGTCCTTTCCCTCTGGGGAAAATCCACTTTGTCCAGGACACTCCCAAGTCCTTAGGGCCATTTGCAATCTTTCCCCCTTTATTCAGGCTCACCTCTCCCTTTACGGAACAGCTGAGTGTCCCTGGAGGCTCCAAGTCTTCTCTCCTTCTGAATTGTGCCAGCAGGAATCTCTATCGGGGTTCCTAGGAATTCTGCATCTGAGTGAACGCAAACCTTTTGTACAAATGTCCAGTAGGTGATTCATTAGAGGTCAGAGGCAGGGGAAATAGAATTCGCTCATTCTTTCATGCCTGTTGTTTCCTTCTTCTAAACTCTTGCTTCTTTTTTGTGTATTTCTTTTTTTGAGACTGAGTTTCCCTCTGTCGCCCAGGCTGGAGTACAATGGCATGATCTCAGCTCACCGCAACCTCTGCCTCCCAGGTTCAAGCAATTCTGCTGCCTCAGCCTCCCTAGCAGCTGGGATTACAGACATGTGCCACCACGCCTGGCTACTTTTGTATTTTTAGTAGAGACAGAGTTTCTCCATGTTGGTCAGGCTGGTCTTGAACTCCTGACCTCAGATGATTCACCCACCTCAGCCACCCAAAGTGCTGGGATTACAAGTGTGAGCCACTAAGCCCGGCCCTTTTGTGTGTGTTTTATTTTGTTCGCCTTAGCTCCTTAAGTCAGGGAGGGTTGGAAGGGAAGGAAGGTGTTTGAAACATACGAATGAGAAATGAACAAAAATTTGCTGCTTAGAGACAGCACTAAAGGCAGGTGAAAATATGTGTGGTGGACGTTGGTGGTTTTTGTCTGACTCCGTGTTCAGTCCCATCTTTTGGTTAAAACAACTCGAGTTTTCTTTGGGTAACACAGGCTGTTACTCTCAGGCACTGGGATACAGAGGTTAGCTCCAGTGGGGGCGGCCCAGGTCTGGCTAAACGGCATCTCATATTCCTTGGCCACAGTGACTTGTTAAGGAAGGATCTATGACCTGTCGTGACCCAGAGACAGCCAGATCTGGGCTTCTATTAGAATTCTTGATAAAGGGTGTTTGTTTTTGTGTTTTCGTTTGTTCTTTTTGCTAGGGTTGCTAAACAGATAGAGGTAAACCCGGTGATGAAAAAACCCATCATTCTTGTCACTCCTTGAGACTGAAAATGGCACTGAGGAATATGGAGCTAAGGGGTGAGACCTCCCTGAGTAGCATGGGAACACCTGGATCTAGCCAAGCCTGAAGGCCACACATGACATTTTCAGTTATGTGAACCAGTGTGTTTCCTTTCCTTTCTTTCTTTTCTTTCCTTCTTTCTTTCTCCCTCCACATTTGACTTGAGTTTCAAATGTTTGTCACTGAAAACTGTTCTTGGTTTACTGAAATGCTAACCTCTATTTTGTAGAGCATTAAAATTATAGGCCAGGCACAGTGGCTCATGCCTGTAATCCCAGCAATTTGGGGGGCCAAGATGGGCAGATAACCTGAGGTCGGGAGTTTCAGACCAGCCTAACCGACATGGAGAAACCCAGTCTCTACTAAAAATACAAAATTAGTTGGGTGTGGTGGCACATGCCTGTAGTCCCAGCTACTAGGGAGGCTGAGGCAGCAGAATTGCTTGAACCCAGGAGACAGAAGTTGCGGTGGGCCGAGATTGTGCCATTGTACTCCAGCCTGGGCAACAAGAGCAAAACTGCATCTCAAAAAGAAAAATAATTATAATTTGATGCTGTTGGAGCCACAGAGCGTTTTCCTCCTTCCCTTTCACTTTTTATTATGACTTATGACTTATAAATGTTAAAGAGCATTCCAGACACATATACATGTTAGTGAACCTGTGATTTCCCGAGGGAAGAGGCAGAACATTGCCATTTGCTCAGAGGTCTCCTACTGTTACCACCCTACTAGAAGTCTCTCACCATTGGAAGCTACTACTATTTGGAATTTTGGGAAAATCATCTTGCTTTTCTTTTCTTTTTAAATTATTTTCTCTATGTACGCACACTCAAAAAGAATTAATTTTGTGTTAATGGAATCATGTTATTGTGTTAATGGAAGCATGTATCTTCTGGGGTCTTGCATCTGTCACCAACATCGTATGTGCAACGTTCCTCTCTGCTGTTGCGGTAGCTCATTCATTCTCAATGCCATCATAGCATCCCACATGTGACAGTATGCAATGTAGCCATTAGAGAGTACCCTGTGTACTGGCTGTTTACTGTAGATAATTTATTGAAGTCAATCAGTGCAACAGAGCTCATATTGGAAATAAACTGAAATGTACATCACTCTGTGCAAAAGCCCAGTCTTGAATCAGCCCAGCCATCTGCCTCCCTTGGTCCACATCCAAGCAGTTGATGGCTCCTAAGGAAAAATTGCATAACTGAGCAAATCTGTGTTACTACAGCATTGTGATCTTCAACCCCAGCTGAGCCCTCCTGAGAGCAAGCGATTCTATGTATCCCTCTTTAACCCTGTCTTCCATCCTTTGTTAAATGATCAGTGCTTCCCCCAACCCCTTCCCTGCACATTCTCAGCAGATGGCATTGCCTCTTTATGGAGGTCATTGGGCAGGAAGTCCTTTCATTTCTTAACTTGGCAGCAAGGAACCTTATCTACATCCACACCCTTCTTGCCTGCCCATTAGTTTCAGGGCCCAGTTTTCCTGCTTCTTTTTCAGGTCACCTGCACTTGTGCCCTGCACCCCTCTGGTACCTCCTATCCTTGTCTTCTTGCTCTCCCTTCTCTACACGGGACAATCTGACGCTGTCTGTGCAAGTCCTTTGCCTTAAACCTCATCTTAATTGTCCCCTTGTGGAACTGGATGTTTTCACTTCTCACCTGAATTATTGCACCAGTCTTCCTGATTGGTGTCCCTTTAACGCTTGCCTCTTTTTGTTCAAGCTATATTCCTCTACAGAAGCCAGAATATCGTTTCTGAAATGCACATCTGACAATGTGAATCTGTGTTCATTTCCTGGGGTGGCTGTAGCAAATCACCACCAACTGGGGGTGGCTTACAACAGCAGAAATGCTTTCCTCATAGTTCTGGAGGCCACAGGCCCGAGATCAAGGTGTCAGCAGGGCTGGTCCCTTCTGGAAGCTTCTGGGAGGGACTCCATCCCATGCAGCTCTCTTAGCTTCCAGGGGTGGCGGCGGGTGGGGGGGAGCCGCAATCCTTGGTGCTCCTTGGCTTGCAGACTCACTGTCACTCCAGTCTCTGTCTCTGTGTTCACATGGTGCTTTTGTCTCTGCCTCTAATCTCCCTCTCCTTTCTCTTATAAGGACACCAGTCATTTGATTTGGGGACCACCCTAAATCCAGTGTGGTCGCACCTCGGAATTCTTGTAATTACATCTGCAAAAACCCCGATTCTAAATAAGGTCACATTCTGAGGTTCTGGGAGTTCAAAGTTAGATGTATGTTTTGGGAGCTGCTATTCAGCTCATCGTATACCCTCTTGCTGAAAACCCTTCTGTGGTCTCTCATTTCCCTGCAGGGTATAATCCAAATCCCTCAGCCTGGAATACAGGCCCTTCCTCAACTGCCCTTCTGCAACCTCAGCTGCACGGCGTCCTGGCCCCACGTGCCTGCCATATACTTCATTCTTCCATGTGAACCGATCTCACTCTCCCAGGGTCTCTCTGGTCTTTTCTTTGTTATTCAGTCCCAGCCCTGCAGTGTCCTCCTTGCCTCTGGACTCTTCCATCTTCTTCCAAGTCCGTGGAGTGCCCTGTGTAGACTGTCAAGAGGCCACACAACCAAGTCAGAGACAACCAGCATGGCAGACTGGAAAGGGGAATTATATTAGGAAGGCTTAATCTAAAAAAAAAAAAAAAGTCAAAATACACCTACTCAGAAATCACCTGCAAGTAGACCAAAAAACACCTCATTAAAGAATGGAATTGCTTATGAAACAGCCACCATTTCCCATTGTACAGAAATTGCTTATGATTGTCAATAAGGAAGGGGAAACATGAGCTGTGGCTGTGGAATTTGGAGATGTAACTGGATGTTGCGGAAATATTTAAACAGAATTCTGTTTGTCTGCACCTTATGGCTAGATAACTAGACCATGCTATGAGTAGGTAAGTCTGCATTTTAACAGCATATTTAAATTACGGCCGAGTTCCTAGACAGAACTGAATGGCTGATGACCAAACAGTGTGCTTAGTGGGGAGATCAATTTCCAGAACTCTGGCTCATGGGGGAAAAGCAGACTTTGGCATCTGTTGGCTGCTGGGAACACAGGAGGAAGACTCTCTGGAAACCTGATGTTGGGGGTGGGTTTTTATGGTTACTTGATTTTATTTCATTTTTAGTTTATTTTTTTATTGTGGTAAAATATACATAACACAAAGTTTGCTATTGTAACCATTTTTAAGTGCACAAGTCATTGGCATTAAGCGCATTTATCTTGATTTTATTTCCTCTTATTAAGGAATTCTAGATTGGACATACAGTAAGATAACTTCAAGTGATGTCAAAAATGCAGACTGTTGGCCAGACTCAGTGGCTCACCTTGGGAAAAGATTTCTTTTCGGCCAAGTGTGGTGGCTCATGCCTGTAATCCCAGAACTTTGAGAGGCTCAGGCAGGCGGATCACTTGAGCCCGGGATTTTGAGGCCAGCCTGGCCAACTTGGTGAAACCACGTCTCTACTAAAAATACAAAAATTATCCGAGCGTGGTAGTGTGTGCCTGTAATCCCAGCTACTCGTGAGGCCAAGGCAGGAGAATCACTTGAACCTGGGAAGCGGAGGCTACAGTGAGCTGTGATGGTGACACTGCACTCCAGCCTGGTTGACAGACCGAGACTCTGTCTCAAACAAACAAATAACCAAATAAACAAAATACTTCTTTCTGTCGTTGGTTTCAAAAATATAGACTGCCAAGTGTCTACTTTTTTGAGACAGCGTCTTGCTCTGTTGCCCAAGCTGGAGTGCAGTGGCACAATCACGGCTCACTGTAGCCTCAACCTCCTGGGCTCAAGCGATCCTCCCACCTTCACCTCCCAAAGTGTTGAGATTACAGGCATGAGCCACTATGCCTGGCCGAAAAGAAATCTTTCTGCCCAATATGAAATTTGAAAATTTGCTGGACTGTGTTCTCCCGGTACAGGGAGAAGGAAACAACTCTTTTGGAAGCCTGCTGATACCATGCAGGCTGCTGTTTTGCAGAGGATTTTATGCTTTCTGTACTGGAGTGACCATTCTGGTTTGCAGAATGAACGTATCTCAAGACGAGGTGGGCAGGCCGTCAGCAAAATAAGAGGAAAAGATGGTACCACCACAAATGCAGAGGCCGTGAGGACTGAACGTGTATCCCCAGAATTTTGGACACTTGACAAGCCCTCCCAATGCCTCACTTGTAACTGAGACTATACTCTGAAATGATAAGGGAAACACCGAAAACAAAATATTCTGGTTTGGAAGTGGAATTATTTCAGCCTTCTCCTGGGTTGTAATGTTCCTTTAACCTCATTAATGTGCACAGTTTTAAAAAAATTTGTTTCAACTGAAAGAAAACCTTCATTTTGCATGGAAACCTCTTTTGAGCAATCATTAACTAATGGATTGATGGTGAGAAATTTGACTCCACATGGAAATTAACTTGCAAAAGCATGACATAAAGCTTCTCTGTTCTTTCTGTGAGAAATTTTTTCCCAAATGGTTTTCAAGACGAGTAAAAGGAAAAGTGCATAATTGTGGCTGTCACTAGATCTTCTCCTTCATTTTGGGGGTCTGTTCTTACTTATTCGAATCATGTAGATAACTGCTTATGCCACAATTGCCCACCGATTCACTCATCTGTAAAGAGTCCCCCGACTAACCCCAACTGCCCTCTCACCTGACAGTCCTCTGTTCCACACAATCCAATTTTCACCTGTGCTTTCAACTCTGTTACAGTTGCCTTAGGAAGAAACCACATATGGAAGGCTCTGTGTTGGAGAAATATTGAGCTGTCTCACCAATTTTTCAGATATGGGAAACGGAACACACAAGCCCTGTTTTTTACCACTTGGATTCTTATGTGGGTTCTCAGACAGCTCTCACGTTCTAAAATTACTCTTCGGACATCTCATTGTCCATTCCCAAGCTCTTCATTTTGACTGATTCTAAAAGGGCTGGCCCATAGTCCCTCGAGGCAAAACGGAGACATTGGTGATTATTATTTTTTCCACAGCAATAAGAAAAGTTATTTGTAGTCATTCTTTTTAATTTTTTTTGCGACAGTCTCACTCTGTTGCTTACGCTGGAGTGCAGTGGTGTGATGATAACTCACTGCAGCCTCCAACTCCCTGGATCAAGCAATCCTCCAGCTTCAGCCTCCCGAGTAGCTGAGATTACAGGCACCCACCACCATACCCAGCTACCTTTTGTATTTTTAGTAGTGATGGGATTTCACGATGTTGGCTAGGCTGGTCTCGAACTCCTGACCTCAGGTGATCCACTCACCTCGGCCTCCCAAAGTGCTGGGATTATAGGTGTGAGCCACCATGCCCAGTCGTATAGTCAACTCTTTTTTTTTTTTTTTTAGACGGAGTTTTTGCTCTTGTTACCCAGGCTGGAGTGCAATGGCGCGATCTCGGCTCACCGCAACCTCCGCCTCCTGGGTTCAGGCAATTCTCCTGCCTCAGCCTCCTGAGTACCTGGGATTACAGGCACGCACTACCGTGCGCAGCTAATTTTTTGTATTTTTAGTAGAGACGGGGTTTCACCATGTTGACCAGGATGGTCTCAATCTCTTGATCTCGTGATCCACTGCCTCAGCCTCCCAAAGTGCTGGGATTACAGGCGTGAGCCACTTCGCCCAGCCCCGTATAGTCAACTCATTGTAGACTCTTGATTCTGCGAGTCCCTTATTTGCTTTGTAAAGCGTTCCTTGGGTTTGAGTGAGACAAAACTTTTTTTTTTTTCCTTTAAGCAAACTTGCTTAAGAGGGAGATAGCTTCTGTGTTTCACTTGCAGACTCATTTGTTGGTGTATGACCCATCTTCAGGGGGTGCAGGCAGGGGCTTCTGTCTGACACCCAGCAACCCTTGGGCTGGATGAATGTATCCTTAATGTATCCATTTTTCCTTTTTATTTTCTTCTCCTTTGTTTCTTTCTCTCTCTCTTTTTTGACAGAGCCTTGGTCTATTCCCCAGGCTGGAGTGCAGTGGTTTGATCTCAGCTCACTGCAACCTCCACCTCCTAGATTCAAATGATTCTCCTGCCTCAGCCTCCCGAGTAGCTGGGATTACAGGTGTGCAACACCATGCCCGGCTAAGTTTTGTATTTTTAGTAGAGACAGAGTTTTGCCATGTTGGACAGGCTTGCCTCAAACTCCTGGACTCAAGTGGTCTGCCCACCTTGGCTTCCCAAAGTGCTGGGATTATAGGCATGAGTCACCACGCCCAGCGGACTGTATTCTTAATTGATTAACAAGGCCAGTGGGTGTGCTCCCATGAGCAATTTTCAAAATGAATTGAATGTCTGCACGAGCAAAGCAAAGACTTCCGGCGTCATCTTTGGCAGAGCTTACGGGAGGAGAGGCATCTCAGCAGGCCTGGTCTTTGCTTGCTACCCCTCACTTGAGTTTTAACTGACAAGCAGGAGGGTTCAGGGACAGAGTCTTGGGGGCCAGATAAAATACAGGACACTGGGTTGTGTTTGAATCTCAGGTATGCAACGAATGACGTTTTAGTGTAAGTATGTCCCAAATATTACTTGGGATCTTTTTGGATGAGCAGAAAGCCTCACAAAAAGCACATTCTCACAATCACTGCGTAATTGGACGTGTCTGAAGCCGCAGCCTTAAGTGGAAACTGCATTCTTTTTCCTCTTTTTCTCTTCTCACTTGGCATGCTCTTCAGATGTGCAGGGACCAGTGTGACCAGTAGTCACCGGTGGCTAGGGAGCACTTGAACCGAGGCTAGTCTGAATTGAAATGTCATCTGATCAGTGTAAAACACACCAGACTTCCAGACTTCCAAGCCTTTGTATGCAAAAAAATAGAACATTTCTCATTAATAACTTAATATTCCTTAAGTGTTGAAATGATCCTATTTTGCATATACTGGGCTAACAGGTGTTATTAAAATTAACTTTCCCTATTTCTTTTTACTGATTTAATATGGCTACTGAGAGCTTTAAAGTTACACATGCTACCTGCACTTCATTTCCGTTTGATAACTGCACTTTAGAGCTGGGATTGGTGGACTTTCTGTAAAGGGCCAGTAGCAAACCTCTTAGGCTTTGTGGTAGATGGGGGCACTGTCTTAATTATTAACTCAGTTGTCTCCAGCCATGGACAATATGCACATGAGTGCGGCTGGATGCTAATTCGTCTTTATTTAAAAAGCCTTATTTGGCTTGCAGGTGTATTTATTGACCCCTGCGTTAGAGATTCTGTGGGGTTTTTAGGTCTAATTTTTAAATGGCTTATCTTTGTGTCTCTAAGTCTTATTGATTTGGACAGAGCGAGAAAATATTGTTAAAGGGACAATTTACCCTTTGCAAGATGGTTCAAGTACTACATAGAAAAGTGTTGGCAGGATATTGCATTTTATTTTTTAAATAAGGGAGAAGAAAAAGCATGCATGTGGTGGCTAGTGCATTGGTCTTTACTGTGTCGGAGCCTCCTGGATAGGTGGATTGCCGTCTATCATGAGGAGACAAAGAGAATCCAGGAGGTCACATTTTGTCCTGAGTCCTGTAGAAGTGAAGGGCACACTGAACACACACTGCATTGAAAACATAGTGGTACCATCTAACAGAGGTTGAAGAGATGAGGCTGGGGCAGGACCTCGCGCCTGCCTTCCCAGCGCTTTGGGGAGCCGAGATGGTAGGATCGCTTGAGCCCAAGAGTTTGAGGCTGCAGTAAGCCATGATTGTGCCACTGTACTCCAGCCTGGTCAACAGAGTGAGACCCTGTCTCGAATGAACAAACAAGATGAAATTACGGCAATGGGGAGGCTTAAGTCACTGGTAAAGGGGAAATACTTTTTACAAGGAACTGCTGTGCTAAATCCCTTTCCTTACCAAATTAAAACATTTTATCTACTGAGAGCATGGCATGATGTAACTTATTTTATTTTTTTAATTTAAAATTTTTATGGTGAAGGGGTCTTGCCCTGTTGCCCAGTTTGGTCTTGAACTCCTCAAACAATCCTCCCATCTGGGCTTTCCAAAGTGCTGGGATTATAGGTGTGAGCTACTGTGCCCAGCCCACAGTGTAATTTAGAATTGATTTTTATGGGATTGGAACATATCCCGAAATGTAAAATCTAGTTGGGATCACATTTAATAAAATAGAAATGACAGGCACAGACATTTTTGGGGGGGTGAGCTAGGGAATTGACACATCAGCCATGATTTGTACGTAAGTGAGGTGCTTATCTGTTTCTTTTACTGATGAGGTTGACCTAGAAGTCCCTCGGGAATAAGACGATCATAAATGAAAGTGAAATCCCAGGAAATTTCTAAATTAAAGTTTGATTTATAGCCCTTTTCATGCTCTTCAGTGCTGAGAAAAGCTGGAGATAATTCGTTTCCCTTCAGTTTTGCAGCCTGTGAATCGTGCCCGAGTGTCAATGTTGAAGTTGAGTTTCAATTTTTATTGTAATCTTTCCTTTCAGTGTCAGTGTGTAAACTTAATTTCACTGCAACTGATATAATTGCCTAAGTAGCTGGGAAGTCCTGTGGGATTAGATTAGGATTGGTGTCAGGGTGCATGTTTCAAATGTAAAAGTTTACAACCTTGGAGGATTGCCATGAGCGGCTTTACTCACACGACTGCAGATTCAGGGACATCTCTTCCCCCATCTCACTCTTCATTAAATTGTCACAAGTCTAGATACTCTACAAGAAGAAAAGTAAGCAAAATATAGTGTATACTCACAGTGTGGTAGGCACTTAGCTCAGCACGTTACATATGTGATTTAATCCTGAAAATTACCCTTCGAATTGTGATAAAATTGAAAATCCTTAGTAATGTGAAAAGTACAAAATCTTTAGTAATATGAATTAATATATAAGTAAAAAATTTTAAATGGATTCAATTTAATTCTCTAAACTATATGTCATTAAAATGGCTTTCCGAGTGATATAAATTGAGGCACAAATGATCAGTCTGATAGTTTCCAAATATTAGCCTAAGGCTTTCCAAACTGTCCTTTCTCTTTGAGAAATTGTTGCTGGGATATTTTCTTTTCTTTTTAAAAATGATGTCACTAGCAAAAGGATGCCAGGGTTTGATAGAGGCAACTGTGTTAAGCTCTTCCAGGGGCTTCTGCATCTAAACCATACTCATGAGCATAGAGTATGGAATGACAGACAATGGAAGCTTGGAAGGGAGGGGAGTGGGAGAGGAGCAGATAATGAAACTTACTTAAGGGCTACAATGTACATTATTTGGGTGATGGATACACTAAAAGCTCTGTAATAAAATTACAGTTGTACTCCCTCAATGTATACAATGTGTACAAATAATGTATACAATGTATACAAATAACATAAAATGAAATGATAGTTGTGAGTACCCTGGTGCTTGACATCTCAGCCCCAAGGCGTCAGGGCCTGCTGCCTGCACCTGTTACCAGGGGCACACTTGGCTGGGGCCCAGGACCCCCTACCTGCCTTAACCTGACAGCTTGGGTCTCAGCCTTGCCCAAATGCTGTCACCAAGGCGAGTGCTCACAAACCTGCACCATGCCCCTCCAACTTGAGGACTCTCCAGAGCAACAGCTGACTACTACACCTATCTGGACACCTGTGTCCTCTGGGTAGCTGCCAGGACTTTCTGCGTCAGCACAAGATGTCCTTTCCTGGCCTTAAAAACATCTGAAATCCAGTTAAGCATCATGCACTGCATTTGGCTATGACTGCATTTAAAAGAAAAATCTGAAACACTCTGCCTGCCTTTTAGTTTTTATTGTATGGAAGTGACCTTTCTGGAAAAGTCCGTGCCAGCTGTCTTTTAATTAATTAATGAATTAATTAATTTGAGACAGGGTCTCTCTCTATCACTCAGGCTGGAGTATAGTGGCACCATCTTGGCTCACTGCAACCTCAGCCTTCCAGGCTCAAGCAATCCTCC